GCCCTTAAAACATTCAACATATCCACAAACCAACAAATAAAATGGGGCTTGGAGATTTGCTAGTTTGCTAGTCAGTTGACAGTAAATCCTGGTTAAGCATGTGCACTGTGCCACCAGTGCATAAAGCAGGATTTTGATAGCTGGGTGTTTGTCTGTGCCATGGAGTTAGTTCTGAGCAGCAGGAAAAACTAGTGAACAGGGTTGACTGAAATTGTATGTTTCTGCCATCACATGTAGCATAGTGACTATGCATTTATTTTTTATTCATTTACCACTGTAAGACAAATCTATCGTTTTGCTACCGATTACGTATATGGATATGCTTCTATACATATAACTGAAAATATTTGCAGACATGACCTGAAAACAACCTTGGTGGAAAACAGTGCTTGGAACATGTTTGATTTATTGCAGGGTATGCGGACACAACTCTCACTCCAGTTATACAAGGTCTGAATGGCTCGTACTCCCAAAAAGATCCCACAAGGGACCTGGTTGTAGGCCTTCTCCAAGTCCACAAAGCACATATAGACAGGATGGGCAAACTCCCAAGATCCCTCCAGTAACCCTGCAAGAGTAAAGAGTTAGTCCATTGTTCCACCACCAGGACGGAATGCACATTCTTCTTCCTGGATCTGAGGTTCAACGGTCCTTTCTATCACCATGGCCTAGGCTTTCCCAGGAAGGCTGAGTAGTGTGATACCCTGATAATTAGAGCACACTGTCCAGTCCCCCTTTTAAAAATGGGAACCACCACCACAGTCAGCCTGTCCTCAGCCACTGTCCCCATCCTCCATGTGACACTGAAGACACTTGCCAACCAAGACAGCCCAGCTATGTCCTTTTTGACTGCCTCAGAGACCTTTGCCAGAGATATGGGTGAAGCTTCCCCTGAGTCTCCCAATTCTGCCTCCTTCTTGGAGGACATTTTAGACGGGTTCAGGAGTTTCTCAAAGTGCTCCTTTCTGCTGCTCGACAATATGCCCGGTCCCAGTTCTCCTCCCCTGCCAAACATAGCCTGGGCATCAGGCAGTTTACCAGAACTTTCTTAAGGCCAGCCAAAAGTCCTTCTTCATAGCATCACTAAACCTCTCCCTGTTTGTGATTTTCATGGACAGGATCTCAAGGCACAGCCAGGGGGAAGAGAGTGTCTGGTTTGGGGACCTCAGAACTGCATTTCTGCTTTTTGTTGATGATGTGTTCTTGTTGGCTTCATCAGACCGTGACCTCCACCATACACTGTGGTGGTTTTCAGCCAAGTGTGAAGTGGTGGGGATGGGAGTTAGCACTTCCAAGTCTGAGGTCATTGTGCTCTGCCATAAAATGGTGGACTGCTCCCTCTGGGTTGGGAGTTAGTTGCTGCCCCAAGTGAAGGAGTTTAACTATCTTCAGTTCTTGTTCACAAGTGAGGGTAAAATTGAGCGTGAGAGTCACAGGCAGATAGGGGCAGCATCAGCAGTAATTTGGATGTTGTACCAGACCATCAGGGTGAAGGAGCTAAGTCAAAGGGGCAAAGCTCTCAATTTACCACTCAGTCTATGTACCGACCCTCACCTATGGTCACGAGCTGTGGGTAGTGACTGAAAGAATAAGATATCATATACAAGCAGCTGAAATGGTTTTCCTTTGCAGGGTGGGCAGACAGTCTTAGAGATAAGATGTGGAGTTCAGACATCTGAAAGGGACTTGGAGTAGAACCTCTGCTCCTTCACTTTGAAAGGTGCCAGTTGAGGTGGTTTGGGCATCCTATCAGGATGCCTCCACGGAGCCTCCCTTAGAGAGTCTTCCAAGCGTGTCCAACTGGTAGGTGACCCCAGGGTTGAGCCAGAACATGCTGGAGAGATTACATATCTTATCACTGTCCCCAACTGCCATGTGACATTGCAGAGGCGTGTCAGCCAAGCCAGCCCCACAACATCCAGAGACTTAAGGTACTCAGGGAGGATCTCATTGACCCCCGGTGCCTTGCCACCGAGAAGCTTCTCAACTACCTCGGTGACTTCAGCTTGGGTGATGGATGAGTCCACCTCTGAGCACCCGGCCTCTGCTTTCTCATCGGAAGACATGATGCTGGGGTTGAGGAGATCCTTGAAGTATTCCTTCCACCGTATGACGATGCCCCCAGTTGAGGTCAACAACCACCCACCTCCACTTTAAACAGTTTTAGCAGGGCACTGCTTCCCCCTCCTGAGGCACCGGATGGTTTGTCACAATTTCTTCGAGGCCGACCGATAGTCCCTCTCCATGGCCTCACTGAACTTCTCCCAGACTCGAGTTTTTTCCTCCACAGTCACCCGCTTCACTTTGAAAGGTGCCAGTTGAGGTGGTTTGGGCATCCTATCAGGATGCCTCCACGGAGCCTCCCTTAGAGAGTCTTCCAAGCGTGTCCAACTGGTAGGTGACCCCAGGGTTGAGCCAGAACATGCTGGAGAGATTACATATCTTATCACTGTCCCCAACTGCCATGTGACATTGCAGAGGCGTGTCAGCCAAGCCAGCCCCACAACATCCAGAGACTTAAGGTACTCAGGGAGGATCTCATTGACCCCCGGTGCCTTGCCACCGAGAAGCTTCTCAACTACCTCGGTGACTTCAGCTTGGGTGATGGATGAGTCCACCTCTGAGCACCCGGCCTCTGCTTTCTCATCGGAAGACATGATGCTGGGGTTGAGGAGATCCTTGAAGTATTCCTTCCACCGTATGACGATGCCCCCAGTTGAGGTCAACAACCACCCACCTCCACTTGGCAATGGAGGTGGAGAACATGGTCCGTTCAGACTCAGTCTCCAGTCTCCCTCGGGATCTGGTCGAAGCTCTGCCGGAGGTGGGAGTTAAAGATCTCCTGGACAGGGGGTTCTGCCAAACGTTCCCAACAGACCCTCACAATACATTTGGGTCTGCCGAGTATGTCCAGCTTCCTCCCCCACCATTGGATCCAACTCACCACCAGAGCAAATACAGAATATATTATGGGCTTTGGTAAAGTTTGTTTTGGGGTTCATTGGTATGTGGGTAAACAGGGTGTGCTTGAGTAACTGTTATCTAGATATGTATATCTAGCTATATAGTTAATCTCTTCTCTCCCTCTCTATATATATACTGTATATATGTACTGTATATATAATTATCTTATCTATATATGTAATATATCTATATATCTTATCTATATCTAACATTATTTAGGACTATATATGTAACTATATCTATCTAGTGTTATCTAACTACTGTATGTAACTAATTTATCTGTTTTTCTCTGTAACTTACTATCTATCTATCTATAGATCTATCTCTCTATCTACAGTGGTTCTCCACTAAATACACAATCTGTTACAATGCTACTAACTCTCAAAGCAACTAACTGTTAGGATTGCATACTCACGAGAGGGTGAACGCACGAAGAAAGTGGACCCAGAGGACTGACTTCAGTGCAAGCAGATTTGTTGCATGCTATACAGCTATATACAGGTGCGGTGAGAACAATAAATGAATACAGAAAGTATAGTCTGTGGAACCGGGTGTCGACCAGCACGGTGACAGTCACTATGGAGTTAGGAGAAGGTGGGCCGAGCCACGGAACACAAGGGTCACTCACTGGCTGGCCAGTGGAGGTGGAACAGGCTGAGGAGACAGAGTAGATGGTGGCAGTGAGCGGAGGTAGTTTGTAGGACTGTGTATCAACCTAGCTGGTGGAGGATGGAAGGGAGGTGAGGAGTATGGTCCGGAGATAGCTGCCCGTGGCTGCGGTAGAGAGAAGGAGCAGGACAGGCAAAGTGAGGAGCTGGGGAAAGGCAATAAACTACCCAGGAGGGAAAAAAGAATGAGAGGCACAAAGAGAACACAAGGACGAGTAAAAGTGGTGCTGGTTGTTGGCCTGAGAACAATGACAAACTGGCAAGGTAGAGGTATGTGAGCTGAGTATAAGTATAGTGTAAGACTAAGGGAATGCAGCTGGTGTTAATTAGGGAATGTGTGGAACATGTGGAGTGAACCGAGACTGAAAATCAAGAGAGGAAGGTGAGGGAGGCAGGTGCAGTCGTTCAAACCTGACACTAAGGGCAACAACAGCAACAAACCAACCTGCTCTGCAAAGAAAAATTCAAATGAATGCCACTAAATAGGGATATCCTGTCTCTGAACACACTCGATCCCGCAAAGTGATTCACATGACAAACCGAACCAATCAGCTGATTTGTATGACTTCCGAGGCACTCAACTGCTTCAAACGTCACCAGTCATGTGACCAAAACACGCCTCGGCACAGGGGTTCCATATAATTGTTTCATGAGCTGCTGCGCATGTGTCGGAGCCTCGGGTGTCAGAGGACCATCACTAGCTGTCGTTATTATCATTGCTGCCTTTGTTGGATCACCATCATGGAGCATTCACATAATTCAGACATTGTTTTGCTGTGTCTTTCGTTACTGAAACGAACCGTTGAATGAATGAACCGATGTTCGATACAATTGATGAAGTGGTTCGATACTAGTTCATTGCTTCATTTGGACATCACTACTGGAGAGTAGCATAACCATATAGTGTGGTCAAGGTCTAACAGTGAGAATTTTCAATGCACTGGCAACGAGAGAGCGTCTGCTATAGCGATTTAAATAGGAGGTAGGTTAATCAAGGGATGTGCTTCAGCTGCGTCGCAGAGCCTGTGGGATGAGAGAGAATGAGGAAGAAAAAGAAAGAAGAAAAGAGAGGCAGCTGGCGCCGAGACCTGATTCATCTTACAATCATACAGGGATATAAATAACCATATTTCTTATGCTTCATATTATATCTTGAATATAATTAAAACCAGGATATTTCCACAAGGGCACCATGTAAATAGGAACATGGGAACTAAGTGTGAAATTTTTGTTATGTAATAATGGAGTAGTATATAAAGTAGAAAATAAACAAACTTCACTTTCTTCTGTTCTGTTCTCTTTTTTTCTAACTACTCTTTCCACATTCAAGATTGAACTTTTAAAATATTGTCATGTTTTTCACCACAGGTGTTTAAGCTGAGGATAAAGCAGCCTTCTTCATTCACCAGATACAACAGACCCTGACCCCACACTTCCATCTAAACACAAGCCCATTAAAGGAAGCTCATCTAACGGCAAACCAAAGTGTATGGTGACTCCCTCACCCACCATGGTCTTTAGTTATTCACACACTTCAGTGAGGAGAGGACATTAGCATATCGTTCTGACGTCATCTTGGATCATACTGGAGTTTAAATACGTTTCCTGATGCAAACCTGCAGGACAAATCCAGCTTTGGATGTATGTCCATTTCCCATCTGGAAGTAGCCAGCTGTTGACACTTTTCACTTCCTTTTTTTGAAACAACAATTCTCCCTGATGATCACAAGGGAATATGTCACTCTATTTCTGGTGGGCTCTTGTTTCCTGTTGGACTACAGCTCCCAGATCCCCCTGCAAGCTCAGCTGCAGAGCAGAACTAAGGGCACAGAGATGTCAGCCAGAGGAGGGACTGGAAGTAAGAGTGTGAGGGCATCTGTTGGGGAAATGGCTTCACTAGAGCACAGCACAAGGCTAAGGAGACATGGGAGGCTTAGGGTCCAGCGAATTAAAAGAGGATGGGTGTGGAACCAGTTCTTTGTCCTGGAGGAGTACATGGGCTCTGAACCACAGTATGTTGGAAAGGTAAGTTATTGTTACATATGAACTTTTAATATTCTACATGTGTGAAATTTGTCAGGTTCTGACTTTTAGTACAGCACTACTTTATATTTCCTTTTTGCACAGTAGTTTCTCTAGTATTATTAGACAAAACAAAACAAAACAAACAGGATTCCT